GCTCCTGCATCCCAGACCCCGTTTCTCCAAGTCTGGGTTCCCAATGGAGGAATTGCAGGCGGCCTCTTTCCTCTTCACCCCACCCAGAAGTGTGGGCCAGGCACAACAGATAACTGGGGAAGAAAATCTTCATATTGTCTCAGAAGGACTAAGCTGTCTCACAGCAGATTGTTAGTACATGTACTGACTCCTAATTCTTGCACTCTGGATTGGTAATGTGTGATCACTGAAATATGTTGAGATGCCTGCACATCTATCAAGAAATGAAAATAAAGTGTTATCTAAAATTCAGAGTTTATCTTCAATCTCTGAATGTTAACTTTCCCATTAGCTTATTTTACTCTTTAGTATCTTTTTATTAGTTATGTGTTCAGTGTTTCTAAGTATTTGTAAATTTGTAACATTTGTAAATACTCCAGACCGCCCCTGCCCAAAGAGTGGGTGGGGGGTAGTAAGAGTGTCATATATGAAACAGCGTAGCAGAATATTGATAGATGCTGAGGGTGGTTGAGTGATTGGTGATACTGTTCTTGTTTTACTGAAAAAGTCCACTAAAAATTTCCCTCCTTTAGGAAATATTTCCCACTCTTCCCCCTCTCTGCTTCTCTTCCCTCTGCTCAGTTTAAACCCACGTTGTCGCTCTTACTTCCGCCCTGTAGGGCACAGCACATCCTGTTCTAGAGACACCAGAAGAGAACTCCATAGACCCCTTGGGCACAGTGCAGAGAAGGAGAAGCTCCAGGGCCCACTCCTCCAGGTTTGTGGCTTTTGAAGCTTTTTCAATTGGCCTTGTTCCCATCTGGAAGGGTTAGACTGTATGTACAGGGTGTTTTAACCAGAGTTCTGGGTATCTGAGTTCACATAAGCTACTAAGAAAATGAGTTCTGACTATTTGTTTTCTCTCCCTGATCTGTTGGGTGACATGGCCTATAACTGATAGGGACTATACCTAATTTCCAGTGTCCCCCTGAACTGAGCTGGGTATAGATTTGGGGGCCTTGAGGGAGGCAGTCATTGGTGAGGCCAGCCAGGTGAGAACACATAGCCTGGAGGGCACAGAAGCTGCTGTGCATGAAGGCTGACCCTGCTCCCAGGCAGCTGCCTGGACTGATTTATTAGGGTTTGGAGATACCATTTGAGATAAAGAATAGCAGAACAGATTTTTGTCCCCATAAAGGAGCTTCCTTATTACTCCAGATTCTCAGACCTCTGGAGCTGAGGCAGTGAGGTTAGTCTTCAGAAAGTTTGCAAACAACCTGGAAACCCTTAGAATTAGAAAGGATGCTCCTTCCTTTTCCCCAGCCTTCCTTAAAAGTGTAAAAAGCACCCCATGGGTAATGCCATCAACTTTTGATAATATTCTTTGTGTATTTTTCATGCTCTTCTTTTACCCTTTTCCTGGGTCTGGAGTTGCTTTCTCAAGGCTAGGCCAGGGAACTTCAGGTTGTGTACTGCTGTGGAGTGATTCAGTCACTGTGCAGAGCCATGGAGCAATATCTAGGGGCCTGTCAGAAGGGAAGATACTCCCATACCAGGCCCCTAGCCCTTCTGAGGCTTAGCTCAGGTTGCTGCTGTTGGGTGTTTATGCTTCCAGCCTAGGCCTGGTTGGAGTCATATCAGTGACTCAGGAAACCTGGGTCTCAGAGAAAGGTGTTGCTGTGGTCCAGACCCAGGACCTTTCTCATTGCCCCTATTGTTTCCAAAAAACATCTTCAGGCTGACCCCTGGTCTAGGCCAGAGCTCAGGCTGGGCACTCCCCTGACCCAAGCCCCTCCTGCCCTTCCTGATGGCACAAGGATTCCCTCTCCCCACATTTTCAGGACTCCAATGGCTTTGCCTTGTTTTAGAGATTGAAATTGAGGGATGATGTTGCTGAGGGCAATACAGGCAACTGGGAATCTGCTCACTCTTCCATCCACCAGGTTAGTGCTGTTGTGGTGGTTGGTGGGGCTCAGTGACCTACGCTCTATGGGGTGAACCTGGCTGCAGCCCACCTCCAAACCAGCCACAGCACCTTCCCAGGAGAGAAGGAACCCTGAAATCCACAGGCTGGTTACTCAGGCCTTAAGAACACTGAAAATAACTCATGGCTTGAGTCTGGACCCTGCAGCTTGAATGCCTAGCTTCCCTGCCCACCCAGCCCTCTGCAGGTCTGCTGCATCAGAGGAGGTGGTGGGCAAGCTGTACACAGGTGGTGAGTGTGGCAAGAGCTTCCACTAGTTTGGTGCCGCTGCCGCTACCTGCACTGTGGCCAACGCTGTGCCGGGGCTGCAGAGCTTCAGGTGTGTCCATGCATCCATGCTGGCTAGACGCTCTGTATCTGCAATAAGGGTGACCAGAGTTTCTGCGACAGCAGCCTCTTCCATGTGCACTGCATCAGCAGCCTGCCTTTGTTGCCCCTGTAGTGCCTCTGGCTGCCCCTTCCACACTGGCTGCTCTGGCTCTGCTGTTGCACCTGTGATGGGAGCATATACCTGAGCAGGTCTTCCACTAGAGCTTGCTGCATTTCCACCAGGCACAGGTGCACCTGTGGGAAGTGCCCACGCATGCTCCCTACCAGAGCATAGTGGGGGGGGTGGGGGAGGGTCTCGTCTGCAGCAACGCAGGTCTGTAGAGCCACACACAGCATCCACGAGGCCTGAAGCTCGTGACCCCACCCCCCAGGAGTCATGCTGTCCGAACATACCCTTGTGTCATGAGTAGAGCTTCTGCAAGAGCTCCATGCTAATGAGACACCTGCAAAGGCATTCGGGCAAGAAGCCCTGCAGGTGCTCCAAGTATGACAAGGGCTTCTTAGAGAGTGCCACGTTGGTGCACCTGAAACACACACACACCAGGGAGAAACCCCACATATTCGGTGACTGTGTGTGTTGCTTCAGTGAGAGCTCCACACAGGCACAGCCACCAGGGCGTGCAGCAGCACACCTGTGCCATGTGCTGCAAGGGCTTTGGTCACTGCTCTGACCTTGATGCACAAGCGCTTGCACAGTTGAAAGGACCTTTCCATGACCCTAGTGTGGCTGCAACTTCAGTGACTGCTCGGACCTTATCAAGCACCAGCGCATGCACATGGGCAAGAAGCCCTACTACTGTGAGTTGTGTAGCAAGCACTTCATGAGCGTGTTCAACCTCAGTGTGCACCAGCACAACCACACGGGCCACAAGCCCCACAAGTGCCCCTAGTGTGGCAAGGCCTTCAGCATGGGCTCCAAGCTAGTGCTGCACTGCAAGAGGCACTTGAGCCAGCTGAAAGCACAATGTGTTGAGTGTGGCAAATGTTCTAGCCACAACCACTGGCTGTCACAGCATCAGCAGGCCCACACAAACTCACGCTGCTTTTGCCACCACCCAACACCACAGCTGTGGCCCTCACCTTTGCTGCCCAAGTAGGACAGCAACAGCAGGGACTTTTTGCTTTCCAGCTGAAGGAGCCTTGCTGAGAGACTTCCCTGGACTGTGCTAGGTGCCAGTGACAAAACAGTGTCTGTCACAGGGATGGTGGGCCAACTCACAAGGTTGGGTCTGTACAAAGACAGCACTGTCTGTTACCTTTACACATCTCAGGAGGTAGAGGTAGCCCTTTCTCTGGCCTCCTGCCATGACCCTACATCTACTTCCTTGTCAGCCCTTCTCCTGTACTCAGTCCTGTTCCTCTGCTGGGGTGGGGAAGGGAGGGGTAATTGGTGTAGTCAGGTCAAGCCCCAAGACCCACATGCTTGGGAGAGGCTAGGGATGGGTGTCCCACAGTCCCTGTGCTTCCAGTGTTTTTTTTTTCTGCAGTCTTCCCACTAGGGTTGTTTTCTTTGTCCCATCTTCTTCCAGCCTAAGTTCCCTCTACCTCTCCTGCCTGGGTACTTGAAAAAAATTTGGTTTTAGAAAGGGAGAGACAGAAACACTGATGTGTTGTTCCACTTATCTATGCATACATTGGGTGATTCTAGTATGTGCCCTGACCACATACTGAATCCTCAACCTTGGTGTATTGGGACAAAGCTCTAACCAACTGAGCTGCCTGACCAGGTCCCTGCCTGGGTACTTTTGATGTCGTGCCTCTCCAGGTATTGATCACAGATGTGGCTCTGGTCTTATCCTACCTGCCCTTTTCTGCCTCATGGGTCTACTTAGCTGTTTGCCTTTCATTGCTTTCTCCGAGTTTCTGAGACTGGAAATTTGCAGGCAGAAATGGTAGAGAGGCTTGTTTTGCTTCACTGAAGCATGTCTGTACACCAGAAGCACGCAGCCTGCTGCCTTGGAGAGATGGCTGAAACTTGTGAAGATGGGTAGGAGCCTTCAGCATGGCTACTCACCTGTCCCAGGGGACAGACTTAATGGTATCCAGTGCCTGTTAGGACAATATTCTCCAGTCAGGTAGGGAACATTAGTTCTGGGAGCCTGGGTTCTCAAAGTCTGGAACTGCTAAGTAGAACACCTGAAACAAGCTCAGAGCTCCACAGAAGCAACAGGGCAGGGTGGAAACTTCCTGAGCCAGCAGTTTACTGTCACGGCTGGTGAAATAAAAGGTGTCTGGGTTCTGGATGCCAAGAGCCCCCTATTATGAAACCTGGGGTCACCGTCTGCAGACTTGAGGAGTGACCAGAGAACCAGGCCCATCCCAAGTTCCCAAGGCTACTCAGCAATGGTGCATACAGCCCTGATTTTGCGCTGGAAGGTGAAAATCTTTGGGTCTGCACATTTGCTTCTCCAGGTTAATGGACAGGATGTGGACCAGGGTCACATACCTGAGTAACTCGTCATCCATACCTCTGGAATGACCCAGTGCTCCCCCTACTCTCAAGGCTTGCCCTGCTCCAGTGCAAGAGTGGGTGTAATGCTCCACAGGAAAAGGCAGCAGAGCCCAAGCAAATTGGGACAGCTGGGTCCTTGAGGTATAGGCCTACAGAGAAGTACAGGGCTCATATCTGTGCTACACATCTAGCAGAGTGCTACGAAGGGATTAGGATTCCTGTGCCTCAGGTGTGAAAACACTCTGCCCAAACATGTCCATGTAAAACACTGGGTTTATTCTCTCTCGAAGGAAGACTACTGTAGTCTGGCTGTGCTGGAATCCAGTCCTGCCCTTCTTCCCTAGTTCCCAGGGACCAGGTGTCTGGCCTTTCTCCTCTTCATTCCCTGTGGTCACTGCTTAGGAAGCAGGGTCAGAGCCTGCAGAACCCGAGGGGGCCTGCACTCATCCCTGGACCCCAGGAGTGTAGGGGCAGAGATGCTAGGACAGGGCTCCACCTGGTCAAGTTGCTCTGATGTGGCCAGGAGCACAGCAGGATGGCTTTTACTGCAGTGAGCTGCAACGCTGTCTGGTTTCTCAAAGCGCTTGCCACAGACCTTGCAGGGGAAGCGCAGGGTGGCTGCTGTCTCTGCGTGCTTGCGCCGGTGCCAGTTCAGGGAGGCCTTCTGGCGGCAAGTGAACCCACAGATTTCACACCTGAGCCAGGTCCAGCAGAGAGAAGTTAGGGGCCTTAGCCCAGTTGCCTAAGTGTCCTCCTGCCAGCCCCCTCCTCCAACCCCCAACCCCCACACTCACTGCAGTGGTTTCTCTCCAGTGTGGATGCGCTGATGGATGACCAGGTTGCTGCTGGTGCGGAAAGACCGGGCGCAGAATTCACAGATGTAGTCCCGAGTGTCTGTGGGGGCATGGGGACACCCCAGCATCCATCCCCAGGTTGTGGCCCCTTCTTGGCCCATGCACCAGCCCCCACAGGAGTACTGTCCCTTTTAGCCTGCACATCACATCCACCCTGGCCATCAACAGTGCCTTGTGACTTGGCAGCAATCTGCTTTTTTTTTTTCTGGAATCTGCCCTCCCTGCCACCTTCAAGTTGCTGAAGGTGGCCCTCAGACCTCTGTATATACTGCCATAAGATCACACACACACACACACACACACACACTCTAGCAGCCTTTGCCCCCATCACACCCCTGTGCTCCATGTAATACTGGCTCTAGGTCTTCTCACCAGCCACTTCTGCTGTCAGTTTGCTTCCTGCTTGGCCAGCACTCACATCTCTTGTTTCCTGACCTTCACTGACCTGGCCCCCAACCATTCTTAACAACCACTCCCAAGGCATGCCCCATCACCACAATTTCAACCATTTGAGTTCCAGCCAGAGAACTGGCTACAATACTCTACCTTATCCCACTATGATATTCCCATGACTCCAGGCTGCCAGTCCAGAGCCCAGTGCTTTCCCACCGCCCCCTGCCCCTCCTTGCCCAATGCTGTTTCTAGGATGGCTGTGTAGCCTTCCTTCATTCACACCAACTCACTAGTCCCTTTCTCCCTCAGCTGTACCTGTTAGGTTAAGACCAATGGAGGATAAACATTACCCCTGGCCTGCTCCAGGCTTGCACAGGAGGGACAGAAACACCTCTCCCCCAGCCTCCCCTCTCATCCACCAGAAGACTCAAGGGCTCATGAGTGCCTCTGCACTTCACCAGTGAGCTTAAGTTCCCCTCTCTGGAGTCCACTTCCTCTCCAGCAGCCCCACTCAGCACTGAACTCATTTTTGAAAGTCACCAAGAGTGACTTTCCCCAGAGGATACTCATATCCTGCCCCCTATCCACCTCATATGTAGCTACCGCCCACTCCTCTGCAGCTGCCCTCCAACTGAGCCTGAGACACCCCCTCACCAACCAGAGGTTGCCCACCCTAGTCAGCAAGTCTCTCCTCTCTGGGCGATCAGTCCCACCTCTGTGCAGCAAGCTTGTAGCCCTCTTAACTAAGGCCCCAACTCTCTGCTTGTATTCCCAGCAAAACCCAAACTGTCTCCACTTCCTTAGCTTCATCCTGCCTGGAACCCACTCCATTCTGGCTGTCATCTCTCTTGTCATGCACCATCTGGTCAGTGACAGCTTCCCACCACCACGTTTGTTGGCCTGTCCTTAGCCTCTTACTTAGTCCTGTGGCACAGGCATAACTCCCTTCCCCTTTCCAGCACTGTGTCCACTTGGTCCTTAGACACCAGTTTCCTCACCTGCTTTCTGGAACCTCCATGTGCTTGGGACAAAGATATTTCCCCCCACCCTTTCCCCTGAACTCCAGATTCACATCTTCTAGAATACCTAATTAGCATGTCCCAAATAAAATGTCTCCTTCCTGAAGTGCATGTCCCCGTCTCAAAAAACCATATAACCTTCTACCCAGTTCAGACTGGAGGCATCCAAATCACTCCCAACTCCTCCCTGCTCATCCCTCTGGTGGCTAATTTGTCCTTCCCATGGCAGCCCTTCTGGTTTTACTGTCATGCTCTCAGCAGCCTCCAGACCGACATCACTGTACATTGCACGTCCCTGAAGTACCCTCCTTCACACGAAAGACACAGCTCTCCTTTCAAAGTCAGCTGTTTTCTTTTACTGCTCCAGATCCTGAGATAAGGCCCATCTCATTTAGCCAGGAGGTAAGCCATCTTCATGGTAGTCTTGGGACCCCCACTGCCTATCTGTCCTCTCTTCCTTCCCACGTGCTGCCCATAGAGGTGGGCAGTCTCCATTTTTCCCTTCACTGAGGTCTTTGCTCAAAGAACCTCCCTTTCTACAAGAGCAACTCCTCCTCCATGTTCTCCTTGCTTCCCTGCTTTCACACATCTTCCACGCTCTACTTGAGTGGACATCTTGCGAGGTGAGGACTGCCTGCTTTGTTCACTGAGGTGTCCCAGAACCTATTGTCTCAGGCAGGTATATGCCCAACACACTGGGAAGTGCATGAAAGTCACCTATAGAGGATGTGATGGGTGCTGCAGATAGGTGACCAGCCCCACAGAGGGAAGTGAAGGGACCCACAGGGGAAGGTGGGGAGGCATTCCCTCCACTGACCACTGTGCAGCTTCACATGCTCCTTCAGGTGTTTCTTGAAGTTGAAGGACTTTCCGCAGGCTGGCTCTGGGCAGGAGAAGGACTTCTGGTGGATGTGCTGGTACTTCTTGTGGTGCTACGGAAGGAAGGGGGTACTCTCCTGAGGGAGATCCTAGAGCTGACTCAGCAGGCAGGCTCCTCTGTCGGCCCTAAACCATCACCGCCAGGTCCTATCAGCTACACGTGATTATCTCCACCCGACCCCACCCTGACCACAAAATGCCCTCATCCTACTGTACCCTTGATTTGTACGATCTCATTTCCTTGCCATCACCTTGGCTTGCAAAGCCCAGTTCCCTAACTATGAATGTGCTGTCTGCAGGGGATAGGACACCTTGTGGTGGGCATGATCATCTTCTTCCCTATCCATATTGAAGTACATCATCACCCAGATGGCCTACTTTTTAGTAACAGATCACTCCAGATATATATTATATGGTTTTCTCCAACATCTGCGTTGGATATACACATGCACTCTTAACCCGGAACATTCTTAAGAGCAGTGTGTTTTTCAGCCTTGACTCTCTGAGTACTTCTAAGATATAGTTCTCTTCTTATGTGACCCAGGTTCACACCCTGCCTCATTAAATCACGTGGGTTTCCCCCTCCAAAATCCCACTTTCCGTAGTTAAATTGCTGCTAAGGGTGCTTCATCCCCTCCTTGAACAGCTCGGGTGTATCCGACCAGCCCTGCTGAAAGTCTGAAGCCCCAGCTTTGCTGCCTCGTGGGGATTATCTCCTTCTACTCCATCCTGGTATGCCCTAGACTCACCAGCCCTGGGTGGGCCCTCCTCAGCCCTCAGACCTGCCCTGAGGGCTCTGGCTGAGTGTGGGGGTGGGCCCTGCTCTTTCTGTGCCTCGAACTTCTCCTGCAGTGAAGATGGGGACAAGACTCAGGGATCCCCAATATTATTAATACACTCAAGCTGAGGAGCGGACAGTGCTTAACCTTCTGTATGTTGGTTTCCTCATTTGCAAAGTGGCAACGGTATCAGCGCCTACTCCCTTGAGTGTGGTGAAGATCAATGAGTCAAATGATTACAATAGCCGCCATTACCCAGAAAACCTGAGGATGCCACCATCATTTCCTATGATCCCCAGAGGCCATGAAACAAGTAGTAGTGGGCAGTGGTTGTGCGTCCAAGGTTGGATTTTCTGCTTTCCTACCAGTTACTTGGTTTAGTGATTATTAACTGCAGGTGAGCTTTGCACACCACCCCAACCCTTTTCTTCCATATTCCCCCAAATACCAGGCTCCTTCCCCTCAGCTTCTCCTCCACTTGAAGCCACACAGAACCCAACCTGTGCCTCTCACATCCTCACATTCAAATATTGCCGGTTGGAGAAGATCCTTTCACAGCCAGGGAAGTCACAAGGCAGCAGCTCCTTTTTGGCAGCTTTCCTGTAGGTGAGAATAGGGAGAAGTAAGAAGACTCCTGAAGGCTCTCCTCAGCCTCCCTCCCTCCTCTTAACCCCTCCCAGAGTCCCTCCCTCAATCTTACCGAATTCTCTTGGGGCCGATCTGTGCATGGTCCTTGTCCCAGGCTACAACCAGAGAAGACTGGGCCTGACTCCCAGGGCTATGAGCAGCAAAGAAGGAGCAGAGGGCCTCGAAGGAGGGCCATGGCCCAGGATACCCCTGCCCTCTGTCTCAGCTGTCAGGTTACCTGGCCATGGGCTCAGATTGCTGGGCCACTTGAGGGGTTCGATTGAGCTCCAGCTCTACCCCACCTTCCACAGGCAGAGAAGCTCCAGGACTCACTGCAGGTGCTGATGAGGGTGGTCCAGCCAGAGAAGTAGGGGCAGCTGCAGGGTCCAGGGCTATCTCTGCCTCCTTAAGTGCATGGGTAACAGGGGAAGGAAGGAGTCTGGGGCCATCTGGCTCACAGCTGAAACAATGAAGAGGTGGACATTATCTCCCTGGGCCCTCAGTTATCACCAGCCCCTAAATCACAAAGATCCCAAACTCAGAACCACCTTACCCAGGCGTCCACTCACATCTGTGTTCAGACTTCATTCTCCCACAGAGCCTAACTTCACCCTTGCCCACCCAATTCCAATTCTCCAGTTCTTTCTGCCTTCCCCACCAAAAGTCCTTTCCTCAAGTTTGCAAAGCTCTGCATCTCTGGCCTGCTGCCCTTGCCCTTCTGTTATGATCAGTGTTTCCCTCAGCCCCAACTTGCTTGTCTGAGGAAGAGCTATAGGTCCATGGGCTGGCATCACTGAGCATCTCCTCTTCACTCTCATCTGCATCACCCCCCTCGTCTTCTCCTGGGGGCAGAAAGAAGTCTGGTGGGGGTTGCATTCCCCTGCAGAAGCAAAGAAGGCAAGCCTGTGGTTCTGATCCTTCACCACCATTGTTCACTGGTCTAGTCTGTCTTTCCTCCCAACCTCACCTGAGCACCCTCGCCTCCTGAGTCCTCTTCTCATGCTCAGATTCCAAACCTGTTGGCACAGGTAGGGTCAAAGTGGAACAAACTTTGGGCTGGAGAGATGAGAGCAGGTGGACTCTAAGGTCTGAATTCATGGGAGGACTCTTAGGAAGGAGGAGGAAGGGGCAAAGACTACTACAGTGGGAAAGGGTGTTTTATTTTAAATGATACATTCAAATGGTTAAAAAAAATTACAAGTATAAAAAAGTACAATATGCAAAGTCTCCTTTCCAATGCTGCCTGCCAGTAGCCTACCTCTTCTCAACAGGCAACCTGGTTCCAACTCACCCTCCCAGAGATATTTCATTCATTCCAAAGTACTTTCTCTCCTTATTTTCCCACCAAAATACATACTATGCATCCTATTCTGTATTTTTCTTTTTATTCCTAAAATATATATTTCAGGATATATTCCCTTGACAGTATAGTTTTTTCACTGAGAAAGGTTCAGTTTTAAAGAATAGGGTTTTGAGCTCTAAGGATGAAAACCCTTTTTCCTTCCTATTTTCTACAACTCTTCTTTCCCGGGCCTACCTGTAGGCTCCTGCCCACCCCTGGCCTCTGGGCACCAGGTTCTCTGGGAAGTACTTGGGAGGAGGGCTGGCTTGGACTCCGCTGGAGGTGTGGGGCCTGAAGAGGGGCCCCAGGAGAAGGTGTGGCCTGCTGAGCACTCCCACACAAGTCCACCATCTCGGCCCCCAGGCCCCCTCAGCCCAGGCACCAGGCTGCACTCTTGACTGTGGGCATGAGATAGGAGAACCAGATACTGCAGACCTTTGGGGGGCAAAGGCTTGGGACCTAAAAGGGTGAAAGTGACAGTCAGGGCAAGCTAGATTACCCACTACTCTCACCCTTGAGAGCCATACCCAGACAGCCTTGTCTCCCAACACCCCTGGGCAACTCTGATCCTGAGTCCAGTTTACCATTCTTCAGAGTCTTGACCCTCAGGTCCTGAGCAACTCCTCCCTTCCCCGCAGGCTGCTGCCATCTAACTGCCTTGGGCTCCCAAACTCCTCTCCTTTTCTGGCTCCGGGTTCCCTCTGATCCAACCCCTTTACCGAGGGCGTTTCTGGGTCACATCAATCGCTGCTGCCCCTCTTCCCTCTGTGGCTCCTGAGCCCCTTCCCCCCTGAGCCGTTGCCTACCCACCTGCACAGAGCACACAGCCTGAAGAAGTATACCTGCCAGAGGGACAACAGACAGGTTAGGTCGCGCCCCGGCCGGACAAGTGCTTCCAACTATAGGCACTCACAGTTATGGGGCAAGTCCTATCAGGACCCCCTTATTCGCTGGGCGCCAAGAGAGGTGCGGCACGACCCTGGCAGGCCGCAAATCTCACAGGCTATACTGCTGAAGTGAGAAATGGGCCAGTAGAAAGGAGCACTGGGCCGGCACTTTGGGTGGGGGGCGCTGGGTAACCCATCCCCACCCCTGGTCCGGCCCTAACCGATCAAGCAGGAACTTGGCGAGCTGCGAGTGCAGGGAGAATCCCAGCCGCTCCTTGAGGAGGCACCACTGTTCCATGTGGCCGCCCAGGCGTATGCGACACTTGCTGCGGCGCGCGTCCAGCTGCCGCCGCTTCTCCCGCCGCCTGTGGGACGCGTCTGCCGTGGAGGCAGCCATGGGCTAGGGGCCTGCGGGATAAAGGATGCGCGTGAGCAGGCCTGTCTCGCCGGACCGCCCCTGCAGCCTCAGCGGGGCGATGGGCAGGACCAAAACGTCCCTGTAGCACTCGCCGCGGACGATGGGAGGTACCCGGCCACCGAGGGGCGGTAGCGGCTGGCTGGGGCAAGAGTCTTCCTTGGGGATTTCCTCCCGGGCGGGAAACGGGGTGAGGAACAACTTCAACTGCAAGGATGCGTCATCCACGCTGCGGGCGTTCTGCATAGCTGGGTCGCCTTGGCCGTAGCCGGACCGGAGGTCTGCAGGGCGCCCCAACCTGGTCTCGGGCCACAGCAGGTAATGAGTGCAAGGCGGGAACCGATCACTGCAAAGGCCGCCCACAGACTGCCCCAACGACTGCCCGGCTCGGCCTTACCTGCGCCCCGGGGGAGGGGGGGGGTGCCGCCACGCCCAGCGGAGAGAGGCCGGGGAAGACGGGGCCCACCTTCCGTGCGCCGCCGTTTCTCCTTTAAGAGCAACCTGTCCCGTCGGCGTCGTGGGTCTCGGCCGGAACTGGGCCCAGCGCGAGAGGAAGAAACCTGGGAGAGGGCGGAGCTGTGGGGCGCGCCTGCGCACTGCCGCATTGCGTAGCGCCTGCTGGGATCTGTGGCCCGCACAAATTGAGCGCGGTGCGGTGCGGTTCTAAGAGTAGCAGTAGTTGGGCCTCCGTCACTTTGTCACTTTCGTGGCGCGTGCCTGGTGACCAGAGGCTTGAGGAAACGGTGCGCTGACCCAGCCCTCCAGTGTGCCGAGATGTGCTGCCTCCCCATTTTTACTTATCCTTCGATTCTGACTCCCCCGTTGACATCAACGAGCCCGTGCTGCAGAATCAACTGCCTTCAAAACCAACTAGAGCCTTCTCTGCACCCCAAGGCCGCTGCCTGCCATAGCACACTCACTTTGTGGATCAAGGGTCTCCGGAAAGTTGCGTAGATTCGCTACGGGTTTTTCTTCACTTGCCAGTCTTTCTGCAATAGACCAAAGGAGCTTTCCTTGCCACCAGGCCACTGGAATGTGCTTCTCAAGGCCACGTGTGGTGACCACGTTGCCAAATGCAGTGGTCAGTTCTCTACCTCTCCACCCTTAGAGCAGCATGTGATGATGTAGATCTTTCCCTCTACAACCCACCGCCTTCGCTTATGTGGCTACATACCCTCCTGCCATTCTCCCTTCTGTTTGGTTCCTCCTTTCCTTTGTTGGACCTCCTCTACTGTCCCACTGAAACATAGATTGTCTCCTGATTCAGGCCTTGGACCAAGGCTTCTCTCTTCTTGGGCTATAGACTTGGCCCCATGGCTTTAAATACAGCTAATAACTCACAGATTTACATTTCCAACCTAGCCTTCCTTAGCTCCATAATCATATCAAATTGACACTCTACAGGTAACTGAATTATGAATTTAGCAGTGATACATGCTACTTGATATTTCTCAAACACAACTATTAATAATTTTTCCTCCCCCTCTTCTATCTCAGTAATGTTGCCATTGGCCACGCACTTGCACAGAACAAAAACTTGGGAATCATCCTGGGCTCTTCTATGATATCAATACCGTATATACATCAGCTAGTGCTATGGATACTATCTCCAAAAACTGATCTTGAATCCAGTCACTTCTGGCCCTTTCTGCTGCTAAAAATCCTACTCCAAGCCATCCATATGTGGCTATTTTTTGTGGTTGCTGTTATCACCACAAACTTGGTGGCTGAAAACAGAAAATTAGTTTTTCACAGTTCTAGAGGCCAGAAATTTTAGTATCAGATGTTCATGTGAGGGAAATCCTTCTTTTCTTGTGGCCAGCCTTCCCTGACTTGTGGCCACATTACTGAATCGTTGTTTCCCTGGTCATATTCTAACAGTGAGGAATTGTAATCCACCCACCATTCTTTTGACATTGTTTCTGTCAATGCTGACATTGATTAATATGTAGCTTATAGATAAACAGCATGTTTGTATAAAAATAGTAGGAACTAACTTTAAAAGATACAGATTCCAACCTTCATTCATCTGAGAGATTTGCTGACCTTCAACTACAGAGCGGGGATGACATAAAACCAAGATGATGACAACCAAGATGACACACACTAGATCATTGCTTGACCAATTTTGAGGTCCTTATTGGAATGGACTGTTCTGGCCTGCATGTGGAGAACTTTTTAACCACCTCCCCTTGATCTCTTTGTTCTGTTTTCCCTCTCCCTTCTTATAAACACCTCTTCCTGCACTGATATGTGAGGATGGACAAGAGGTCCCCATCTTCTCAGAATGCTGATATCTGAATAAACCACTTCCCTTTTCACCAGCACCTGTCTCATGAGTTTGGCTTTTGTTGTGGTAGGCAGGTGGACCTGCATTCAATTACAATATTGCCTCCTTCTCTTTTCTCTGTATCAAATCTCATTTGCTTCTCTTTTATAAGGATACTTATGATGACATTTAGGACCTGCCTGGATAATCCAAATAATCTCCCCATCTCAGTATATTAAAACAATCACATCTGAAAAGTATTTGCTAGATAAAGTAATATTCACAGGCTCCAGGGATTATGAGATAAGTATCTTTTTCCAGACCACTTTTTATTGTTGTACAGTTACAGTTGTCTCCATTTATTCCTCCATTGCTCTCCCCCACCCCCTCCAACCCCCACTCCCCAAAAAGTCTCTACCCCATTGTCCTTGACTGTGGGTCCTCTAACATGATCCTTGACTTGATCCATCCTCCTCTTTACCCCATTATTCCCCCCTCCCTCCCCTCTGGTCACTATTAGTGTGTTCTTTATTCCCATGTCTCCAGGCTGTTTTGCTTGTTTGTTTGTTTTGTTGATTATGTTCCACTTATAGGTGAGATCATATAGTATTTGTCTTTTACTGCCTGGCTTATTTCATTTAGTACAATATTCTCCAGTTCCATCCATGTTTGTGGAGGATACTGGCTAGCAGTATCCATCCCTGCTGCTGATGCTCATCGAAACATGAGAAAAACATACACAGGGACAACCGAGTCCTGTGGGGAAATAGGGACAAAATGGCCACTCTCTAGTGGAGAGTGCCTCCAGCCCCCACCTGAGTAGGCTTTTATTAAAAATACAGACACAGTTTGTGGATTCCAGTCTGGCAGGGAAGATCAAAAGGAATAGGTAGTTTTCAGAGGATTTGACAGAACTCCTGCTGGGATTCTGGGCAGAGTTTGGGGTTTTGTCACTTAAAAGACTACAGGACCTAAAAGGCTAGTCTCGTTTCCTGCCCGTGCCTTCATATTCTAATTCAATAGCATCCTCCAGCAAGCAGATTTCACAGGATCTTGCATATTCTATGTCCCAGGCCTGATTACCTTGGGGATCCACCGACTCTAGTCTGGACTGCACTGCCACTGTTACGTCCACAGGCCTGAGTTGGGCAGAGGAGACAAAGGCAGCCAGGAGACTTGGATTTCTCACAACTGAGAACAAGAACTCAGGCTTTGACAAAGCTGAGGGGGCAGGTGTAGATGTTGATTACCTCTTCATTTCCACAGCCCCGAGTCTCTTCCCTGAGGCCTCCTTGTGATCATGCCTGTCTTAGATTATCTTACCCCCCCCATGGGAAATCTTAGATTATCCCTCCCCGCCATGGGAAATCTTACCTGTCATTGGCTAACTGATCAAGCATAGAAGGCCAGGCACAGAACAGGCAGTGTTCATGCCAGGGAAATAAGTTTTGTCTCAGTGGCTCCTGGTTCAGAGGTCTCTTACTCAGCCTAAGTCACAGGGGGTTACAGCTTCCTGAGACCAGGCAGGGCAGGCCACAACACATGTTGTTGCAAAGTGTAGGAGTTCCTTCTTTTTCCCTGCTGTGTAGTATTCCATTCTGTAAATGAACCACAGTTTTTTGATCTACTCATTTACTGCTGGGCACTTAGGCTGTGCCAGCACTTGGCTATTGTGAGTAATACTGCTATGAATATAAGGGTGCATAGGTTTCTTTGAATTGGTGCTTTGGAATTCTTTATTTTTTTAAATATATGTTATTGATTATGCTATTACAGTTGTCCCATTTCCACCCCCCTTCACTCCCCTCCACCCTGCATACCCTCTCCCACCCACATTCCCCCCCTTTAGTTTTCATGTCCATGTGTCATAAGTTCTTGGCTTCTACATTGCCTATACTATTCTTACCCTCCTCCTGTCTATTTTCTACCTACCATCTATGCTACTTATTTTCTGTACCTTTTCCCCCGCTCTGCTCCTCCCACTTCCCCATTGATAATCCTCCATGTGTTCTTCATTTCTGTGGTTCTGTTTCTGTTCTAGTTACTTGCTTAGTTTCTTTTTGTTTTTGTTTTAGGTGTGGTTGTTAATAATTGTGAGTTTGCTGTCATTTTACTGTACATGTTTTTTATCTTCTTTTTGTTAGATAAGGCCCTTTAACATTTCATAAAATAAAGGTTTGGTGATGATGAACTCCTTTAACTTGACCTTATCTGAGAAGCACTTTATCTGCCCTTCCATTCTAAATGAAAGCTTTGCTGGATAGAGCAATCTTGGATGTAGGTCCTTGCTTTTCATGACTTGGAATACTTCTTTCCAGCCCCTTCTTGCTTGTAAGGTGTCTTTTGAGAAATCAGCTGACAGTCTGATGGGCACTCCTTTGTATGTAACTGTCTCCTATTCTCTTGCTGCTTTTAAGATTCTCTCCTTATCTTTAATCTTGGGTAACTTAATGATGATGTGCCTTGGTGTGTTCCTCCTTGGGTCCAACTTCTTTGGGATTCTCTGAGCTTCCTAGACTTCCTAGATGTCTATTTCCTTAGCCAGAATGGGGAAGTTCTCCTTTACTATTTGTTCAAATAATTTTTCCACTTGTTGCTCTTCCTCTTCTCCTTCTGGTACCCCCATAATTCGGATGTTGGAACTTTTAAAGATGTCCTGGAGGTTCCTAAGCCTTTACTCATTTTTTTTGAGTTCTTGTTTCTTCATTCTTTTCTGGTTGGATGTTTCCTTCTTCTTTCTAGTCCACTCCATTGATTTGAGTCCCAGTTTCCTTCCCATCACTATTGGTTTTCTGTACATTTTCCTTGATTTCCCTTAGCATAACCTTCATTTTTTCATCTAATTTGCAACCAAATTCAACCAATTCTGTGAGCATCCTGATTACCAGAGTTTTGAACTGTGCATCTGATAGGTTGTCTATCTCTTGGTTGCTTAGTTGTATTTTTTCTGGAGCTTTGATCTGAACTTTCATTTGGGCCATTTGTTTTGTCTTGTCGTGCCTGTCACATAGTGTGGGACAGAGCCTTAGATGTTCACTTGGGAGGGGCAACCCAGTCACTGGGTTGTGACGCTGTGTGTGGGGATGGGGTCCAAGAGGGAACAATGGCGCTTGCTCTGCTCTCTGCCGGATTTTAGTCACTTTTCCCGCTTCCCATAAGCAAATTGGGCCCCTTCTGGTGCTGATTCCCATGTGGGTGGGTTTGTGTACGTCTTGGGACCCTGTGGGTCTCTCCAATGAACTCTCCTGTGAGGCTGGGAATCTCTCCTGGCACCTCAACCTCCACAGGTGTTTCCAATCAGTGTTTTGAGGCTTTATTTCCCAGTGCTGGAACCCTGGGGAGCCTCGCTCACCAGTCTCATCTGGTTTATCTTTGCGTGAATGTGGGACCATTCAGTCCACCAACCACCTTGCGTGACGCTCACCTCCACAATCCACTGCTTCGCTGAGTCTGCCAGCCACCACTTGCTGCAACCCCTCTCCACCTGGCTGCCTGACTCTGCTGCCTCTTCTACTTGTCTGGATGAATGTGTCTACTTTAACTCTTTCATTGTTGGACTTCCATCCAATTCAATTTTCTGTCAGTACTGGTTGTTTTTTGTTTCTAAATTGTTGTCCTTTTGGTT